ACAATTACACCATACTCAAAGCATAAGGTTTTTTTTTTAAAGCAGAATAAACAAAATAAACTCATGATGACCCTACAGCAATGATAAAAAAAAAAAAAATTCACAGTATTCAGTTACCAGGGACATGTGCTCTCATCTCAGTCTCTTGGGACAAAGCAGGGCTCTTCGTGAAAGAACATCGGTCAGATAGTAAGTGTGACCTTAGTTCCGAAGAAAAATGTTTGTAAAAGCAGTCAATTTCTCAGAAGCCAAAAGTTTAATATTAACTATCTATGGATGGTTCCATATGTTCTAGTGGTTTAATTTTTAACCAAACTGGGTTTAAGAGAAAACAGCTAAGACACATTTTGTTTTCTGCATTCAAAAAAGACTGTGTCCCAAATTTGAATCTGTTGAATCAAAGCTAACACATATCTGCGTTGTGCCTTGATGCCTTTATACTTTTATTATGGTTAGTACTCAAACAAGCACTAATATTAGCCTTCTATTACTCAAAAGACAAAACAAAAACATTTTCCTAGACAACATTGCGAGACCTTTGATGTGTGTTATGGACACTCATGCCTGTGAGACCGTTCCGAACGGTGCGGCCCAATCTCTCCATTCATGCACATAAGGGACTGGCTCACACAGTCAGTGCTGTGACAGAGGAAGGGACAAAGCAATCCTCTGAGACTGCCGCCAACTGGCACAGGTCACTCGGGGTGAACAATACGTACTGACATTTGTGTCTTCCACAATTCGTGATAAATAAGCAAACTGGTTATGTGTAACCAGCCAAACTTGCTTCTTTGAAAAGGCTGCTACTGGACGATGCAGAGCTCATGTTCCTTCCCGTATCAGAAAGGAAAAAAATCAAGTTACATTTATAGCTAATTTTATCGTGTCAAGCTCTCTTCTAGCAGTAACGTCTCTTACCACAATAACAAAAGCTAAACTAGTAATTCTTCTCAAAACTCCTATTAAACCATCTGACTTAGTTAGGGGCTATTTTATAGTTGAATTCAGTTTTCATTAACTACATGGCAAATGAAAATAACCTCATCTTCATGAAAATTAAAACTAGTCTCTGTGAAATAGACACTAAACTATATTGACATGTACTGTTTTAAGATCAGACCAGTATTTGTAGTTTAATCATTTCCTACCAATAATATTGTATAGCTGTTTTTAAAAGCGGGGTGTTTTATCTTGTTTTACAGTCTCAAAAGGACCCACTCTTCTCCTTGTCCCAACAGAACTTTTCATAAGCCCCTTAAAATTAACAAATCCTAAACAAGACTCTGGGACATAGTTCGGAAGTCTGCTGATGGCTCATCTTGTAGAGAAATAAGGGCTGTTTGTGAAACAGGAACTGTGGGCCGCAGCCCAATGGGAAGGTTTTGCCTCGGCTTTTGGCTGCTTAACCCTTAGTGGACTGCACCAAAGAGCAGTCATTTCATTGCCACTATGGAAATAAGGGAAGTCAGACATCTCGCAACACCAAGGTGAAGAAAAACGAGGAAGTTGAGAAGCATCTAATTATTTTAAACCAAGTCTCTTGTAAATGATTGTAAATGTAAATCAAAGAAATATTTTTATTTAATATCTGATTCTCACAGAGGTAAAAAAAATTGAAAAGCTGAAAACAAGGAGGAGAAAGGGAAATAGGGGACATGCTAAACTAAATTGAGCAAAACAGCAAAATATTCTGAGAAAATACACAGGTCTGTTACCATGTGCAGTCATCGGTTAATGTTTTTCCAGGAAGGAGCTTATTGTAACCCACTTAAAAGGATGCTACAACTGCATTTATATACCCAATTTAGGGAATACTAGTTATATTTGTATAAATACACATACACATATAGAAACATGTGTGCTTTCATCTAAGGCAGAGTTTAAAAAAAGGAAAGCATAAAATTTAGGCTGTACTATACTTAATTCTGCTTTTAATTCATACATTTATGAAAGTAATGTGATTTATTATTTGGGCTCCATATTTGCACAGCAACATCTCTCAATGCAAACCCTGACAAGCGCCTATCAATTCTGGCAATTTTGTTTGTTGTTATGGGAACGAAAGCGTCAATGTAGACTATAAATACTCCTCCTTCCATTATAGGCCAGAGTCAAAGAGTTGATAAGCTAGCAATATGATTACACTCACACCTCAGTACAAAAATAGTTATCAGAAAAGTTTAAACTGAGTTGAAAATATTTGAAAAATAATTTAGAAGTATGGTCGTCAAATCTCTGGCAGTGTTGTGAAAGCTCCACTTCGAAAGCACACAGCGACTGCTGCCCGGCTCGCGTCCTAGTAGGGCCTGAGTCTGTGTCTCCTTTCCTTCGCCCTCGCCGCAGGCATTTCTAAGTCCTTGAATTTTCCTTTCCTCATGTGGGCAAAAGTATTAGCAATGACTAACCATCTACAATGGTAATTAATGTCTGAAATTGGAACTGGCAACAAGTGCCCCTGAAAAATCCTGAAGAACCCGGGGTTCAAAAATATTTAAATTCGCGATTGTAGGTTTCCTAGTTTTACTAAGTGTCTAATAAGTCAATTAGTCTAATAAGACTATCAACATCTGCTTATTACCCATCCTGTAAGCTACGCACTCCTCTCTCCAGTCAACGTGCTTTCTGGCATAGCTTCCAGCTGTCATCAGTAGATGGAAGTTTCAGGAATGGAAGCTAAACTCGCCTAATAAAAATATCATCGAGAAGCTAAATGTAGTGTGTCCCCCTATAAATTAGATGTAAAACATACTCCATTCTATTAGTTTGGTAAGAGTTCCATTTAAAGTGGCTTCAATTATTCTGCTATTTACTTTTCTGAGTTACCCAACAGTCTTTTTTCCTTAAAAATAAATAGGAACATAGAATTCTGTTAGAACAAATTCTATTTCCAGACATTTCTACTGCACTTAAGTACTTACTGTACAGTAATAATTCTAGACTGCTAAACCTTCTAAAAGGACAAAATGTTAACTACTGATAAAAAAATAACAAGGTCACAGGCTGTGCTGTAGCTGGGTCTTCCTAAGTGACCTATCCAGTAACACAACACATTCTAAAGCTGTGTTGGCCAAAGCATTAGCCACCAAGCTTTAGGTGACTATTTCAGTTTAAATTCATTAAAATTAAATAAAATTTAAAATGTCCTTCTTCGGCTGCACCTGCCACATTTTAAGCATTCGACAACCACGTGTGGCTGGTGACCAGTATCCTGGACAGCACAGACCCAGAGCCTCTCCCTCACCTCACTGCCACTCTAGACTAAGCCCAGGACTGACGCCTCGCTGAGTCTAGCAACTGGAGGAGTACAGAGTGCATGTTTTAAAGGCTTCTATTTAAGTTACAAATAGAAACAAAAGCTTCATAATTCAGATTTAAACAAGTCTTATCACATGCAATTCCAACTGCTAGTTATTAATGTATTTTTCAAATATTGCTTAAATGAAAGCACACAAAACAAATGACCAGAAATGGGACTTGTTATAGAATGTAAAAGTCCTCAAAGAAAAAATGGCTAAAGACTGATTTCATTAAATGTGCCAAAAGGATCTTCATTGGGTATTTAAAAAACTGTGCTTTGAAATTGCAACTTAATTAAATTAATTTTTTTTTTTTTAAAGCAAACTGTATGGTAACATAGGAACCTTTTCTGGTTGTGTATTATCGTCGGTAAGGGTCAAGGTCAGCTGTAAGTCAGCTGTATGTACCTAAGTACAAATGGCCTCAGAGTTCCTCAGCCAAGTGCACATGATCTCAGCTCGCTAAGAATTTATTTCCAACTCCTTCAGATCCTAACCACCTTCACAGCTTGACAGGGTCAAGAAAAATTATCCAATGAAAAGTGTCAGTCACATGACAATTTTAAAAATAAGTTAATATCTACAACGCCAATTTTAACTCTTAATATTTCTAAACATAATCAAATTATCATAAACATGGACATGACCTGCTTTTTAGATTGAGCTGAAAAAGACTAGTGTTTTAAAAAATTTAATCAGAAAACTAGTCTCCATTTCATGAAGATAAAAAACGGACCCTTTCAAAGAAGATTTAAATGGGTACCAAAATTCTACCACAGAAATATATCCACCAAACATTTGTATGTGTGGTCAGTAAAATAGTAAATTCATGGTAAAAATAGAAAAAAGAATCCAGACATTTGGGATGTCCTATAATTAATTGGTTAAGACAATTCAACAAGTAAGGTAGGTACTTTAACTGAAAATTAGATTCAGTCAACTATAAGTGAATATATATATATACATATATATATATATACACACACACACACACACACATGGTCATGGGACGTGGAGTATAGTGTGGGAGTGGAGTCAAGGGAAGTGTAATAGATACGTATGATATTGGGAGGAAGTGGGGCGGCGGATTGGGGGAAGGGGGTTGTCACTTCGAGGGGTAAAAAGTATAACTATTGCACTGTGTTGCACAGCTGAAACTAATTCTAAAAAATGTGTATTTCATAATAAAAAATAATTAAAAAATTAGATTCAATTAAGTATATGAAAATTTAGAAAGATTATGAATCTTTTAAGGAAATCTCAAAGGGAGGTAGTTAATAAATTCAGCTTCACGGAGATCATACTTTGGCCACTGGGACTACCCTGTAAAACCTTTTTGATTGTTATAAAAACAATACTTTCTCCACATTAGAATTTTACAACCTAAGTCTGAGCTGAAAATCTCAATGTATGGAAAACCAAAGCATCATCAAGGACTAATAAAGACTTAATCAGGATCCTACTTTCTCTGGGTGTAAAGCTAGGAATGTTTGTACTGTTGTAGTTTCCTTATTAAGCAAAAACAGGGATTCTCTTAGACTATAAACAAAAAACCAAACTGTGCAGCCCAATTAAAATAAAAGCAATATATTTAAACAGCTTTAATCACATCGCTAAAGTATTTAAACTCTCTTCCCAGGTAATTTAAGGAGGATGAAAACCGTGAACTGGTCCCACCCGTCCCCAAGCAGCCTAGGAACTCACCATCTTTAAAATCGCGCCGTAGAGCCGCAGGAGCACTTTCCGGGGCTCGTCACCAATGGTGGCCATAGTGTCAGGTAAGGAGCACTGGAACAGCATGTTACTGAGGCCACCTCTGTGGGAAATAAGAGGACGACAGTTAGGATCTGTATTTTGAAGGTAAGCTAAGTCCCTCTCTTCTTGGATAACTACAGATGGATGAGAAGTCAGGATCCCACGAGAACTGTTCTAAGTCTTCCTTCTCTCAGGATACTTGCAACACAAATGATTTAACTCCACAGTTTTCAGATCAATTCCATGAGTCACACTAAAAACAGCAAATACCCTATCTGTTCTTCTAGACTGGCATTGGATTTTTGGGTTTTTTGAACTGCATGTGTGCACCCGTACATGGCAGTGGCCTCTAGAGAATGACAAGGGGCCAAGCTCTCTCCACACTGGAACGGGGGAATCCCACAGGCAATCCTTCCGCCCCATATTATCCCATGATTCCAAGTTTCCACTATAACGTATTCCCATAATTAATTAGCAGGTTAAAATCTTGGGGCAATACTTAAACCATGTCCTCCAGGGCTTTCTACTTGCAGTCCACTTCCACAACATACCCCTTCCATGCCAGTGTTAGTAAAAATTTCTCAACCAGCCAGCCAAGTGGCGCACTGGTTAGGAGTTGGCTTGGGATGCCAGCTCTGAGCAGCAGGGCCCTGGTTCGGATCCCACATAAGGGCCAGTGACGCTGCGCCCTCTACAGCTAAGATGGTGAACAACAGCTCGACCTGGAGCTGGGCTGCTGTGTCACTGGAAACGGCTAGGCTACAGTGCGGCTGGC